TTTTTTTTTTTTTTTTTTTTTTTTTGGTACCAGGGATCAAACTTGGGACCTTGTACTTGTGAAGCAGGTGGTGGAACCACTGAGCTAAATCCCCAGCCCCCTCAACTCATTTTTAAAAATCAAAAAAAAGGATAGAAGCCAGGCATAACAGTGCATACCCATAATCTTAGCACTCTTGGGAGGCTGAGGTAGAAGGATCAAAAGTTCTAGGCTATCCTGGGCAACTCAGAAACTCAATGAAATCCTGTCTCAAAATTAAGGGGGGAGGCTCACCGGACATGGTGGCGCAAGCCTGTAATCCCAGCACTCAGGAAGCTAAGGCAGGAGGATCACTTTTCAAGACCAGCCTGGGGCTACATAATGAGTTCCAGGTCAGTCTCAACTACATAGTGAGACTGTCTCAAAAAACAAAAACAAAACAAAACAAACAAAAATTAAAGGGGGGCAGCGCTAGAGAATGTAGCTCAGTGGAAAGTTCACACATGGATTCGATGGTGGGGCACATTGGACAGCGCTATAGACAGAATTTTATATCACCAAATTATGTTCCATAACATAAAATTCCAAAAAAAAACCCCAACAACAACAAAAAACCACATAAAATTCCACCAAGCAGTATACTTTGAAGAGCAGAAGGTGATTTCTGCCTGTTAACATGTTTATGACAAGGCCATAATTCTTATATCTTGCTGCCAAGTGGCTTGAACCACCAGCAGTACATGCATGACTGTATCCTCAGACAGCTTTTTATTATTTTTTTATTAGTAAAAGACTGATAACAGTGATTAGATCTGTTTGTACCACCAGTAATAAAAGCTGCTTGATGGGACAGTCATGCAAGTACCACTGAGGCTTCACAACGGCATGAACATGTTAAAAGGAAACAGAATTCAACTTGAAAAATTATCACTGTTTACAGGGCACCCAGTCTATGTGGTCCATGAGGTCCCCCCAAATGCACCTACCGTGCCAGCCAGGATGTCATGGGGGCAGCAGTCCAGAAGGTGACTCTTGCAAACACGGTCATCTGTAAACTTGACCCTCTGTCTGGTTTCGTCTCCTGAAATTCATTTGTGGTTTTAAATAAGACAGTATTATCGTATTAACCACAAAAGGATATCTGGTACAACAATTCACCTGGATGATTTGTAGACTATCATTTCTGTGTTCTCCCCATGAAATACAACTGAAAAGCTGATATAAAGATATTTATAACTGGAATGAAATCCAGGTATTTTAGATGCTAAGTATATGATGAAAAGTCACACTTAATGAGATGAGACTCCACTACTGTGTCAAGGAAGTCATGGAATCAGAAGTAAAAAGCTGAGCACCAAAAGGTCATTAACCCAACATAAACATGTGGGCAATGAGATACCAAAAACCCACGCTAAGCAGAGTACAATGAATCACCATGTATGACACACAGCTGGTTTCCATCAACAAAATCTGTTATGGACAGGGGTTTGCCTAAAATTCATGAAGACAGCTCTCAAACTCTATCTCTCATATAATCTGGATCTGTTCTTTATTTCCCCATTTTTAATCCCCACCCTTAAAAAAAAGTTGGCACCCAGGAGTCACTTTAACAATACCAAAAAAAGCAAAAAGGAACTAGGTTAGTCAATACACACTGTGAGCTCCAACACATACTGTACCCATCTGCATTCTTCAAGACCTCAGCTGCAGAATTTTATGCCCGCTGTTGAAAAGTTTTAAAGGAAAAGTTTTCTTGCCCACACCTGCAGTAAGGAAGTCAGGGGGAATGATACATAAAAGTAAAGGCAAAGTGGTATGTGACAAATTTTAAAGCTAATCTGTGTATAGGACACAGAGTTGTGTAATAGTCAAGGAGGAATATATTTTAGGATTTGCAAGCATCCAGGATTAATGTAGTGTCTTTTTATTGAAAATGTTTTCTTTCTAAACTACACTTTTAAAATTACTTGTGAAAAAAGCAAACACTTTTTTGTTATAACAGCTTAGAAATTGGTTGTGACTCACGGCTCGATGAACATGAGGCTTTTCTGCAACTCCCTTGCAGATTGATGTAGGCAGGCAAAGATACACTGAACCTTTATAAATAAAATAGAGGGGCCACAATTGTTCAGTTTGTATGAAATAAAAATATGGGAAGCAATTCAAAAGCAACTCAATATACAAAGAAAGCTAAAAGCACTTATTCACCTATGAAATAAAGTGCAAAGAATCTGCACAGCCCTGGGAATGTGCCGGTGTGAACTTACAACTTCATTATTTCAGTAGAAAAGAAAACAAATCACAGAAGGTATATAGTTTTGTAAGGATGCAATCGCTTTCTCCTGAGACAACCTCCAGGATCTGTGCTCCTGCCTACAGTACAACCTACCTAACGACTGCCAAGAGCTGGCTTAACAGAGGCCCTCCTGTGTGGCTGGGGGAAAGGGGGGCTGGATAAGTACTCGGCAGGAAACCACGTTAGAAAGGCTCAATTTCAGTCTCCCCTCGTAATGGTACAGAACAAGAACTCCCCGGGGTTTCCAAGCCATCCGGCTGCCTCGGGAGTAGCTTCTTCCCCGAGGAGCCCTGGAGGAATTCCGCCAGCCGGCTGCCGGCGACCTGGAGCCTGCGCTGGTTTCCAGCCCTTCGCCGACTTTCCGATTCGCAGAGGGGCGCGGGGCCGCGGCACCGACGGGGAGGAAGTTACAAGACAGCAAATGGGACGGAGCTGACGCCCCACAGGCAGCGCCGACTCGAAGGGAGGAAGCCCCCCTCCTTCCCGCGAGACACGCAGCTGGGAAAAAAACAGGCCGCTGTTGCCGTAGGAGGCAAACCGGCTCAGACAAAGGCCCAGCGCCTACCTTCGGCGCAAGCGCAGACGTTCGCGGCCCCTGCCTCAGGCCGCCCGGCGGCCTCGCCTCAATCCCGCTCCAGCCCCTCGCCTGGCCGGCCGCCCGAACTCACCGTCCCGAGCTGTGCCCATGAGCTGGTCCAACAGGGCACGCATCTGCGCCTGGGCGGACATGATGGCCAGGAGGGGCGGCCGCGACAGCTCCTCTCTGGACAGCGAAGGCCACAGCAACAGCAGCGGCGACGAAAACTGGTAGAGTTGGCGGCTCGAGCTCGCGGAGCTCTTTCCCGCCGCGGGGGACGCCGGGAGGATGTACGTCCACACCGGCACACAGCCTTCTGGGAAATGTTGTTTCGGGGATGCGGCGGCGCCCGGCTCAAAGGTCTGCGCAAGTGGTTCAAGGGGCGGAGCCAGAGCCCCGGCAGTGGTTTGGACCGAGACCCCAAAACGTCAAAATCTAATCGCCGTGCGTGATGGCGCACCTCTCTAACCCGAGCACTCAGGAGGCTGAGGCAGGAGGTTCACCGCGAGCTCGAGGCCTGTCTGGGCTACATAGTAAATTCAAGACCAGCCTGAACTACATAACGAAACCCTGTAACAGAGAGAGAAGGGTGGGGGGAGAAGGGGGTTGGGAGAGAGAGAATTGAGATTTCAGGACCAAGAAGACCATAACACCATCCTCCCCTATTTCCTCACTGTCCACTGAGATGCCTAGTAATATTTGGTTTACAGTATATAGACTAAGATAGGGAGCGCAAGTGCTTTTTACTTGTCTCACTTATATTATTCCTGAAATAACCATTGGCAGAGAGATTAGGTAGATTTAATTTTAGGTCCCTTCATTTTATTTTATTTTTCAGTACTAGGGACTGAAACAAGGCCTTTGCCCTGAGCTACATCCCCAGCATCCCCAGGACTTTTTTTTTTTTTTTTTTTTTTTGGAGACAGGGCCTCACAAAGTCACTGTGTAACCTAGATTGGACTCAGACTTGCAGTCCTCCTACGTCAGCTTTCCAGAGTGCTAGAATTACATATGTGTGCCTTCATACCAGGCCTGGATTCCTTCTTTTTGGGTAAAGCTATTGAGGTGAGGAAGGATTATATAACTGTCTGTGGGTCTGATCAACACCACTAGGAAAAACAGCTGGCCAGGGGCCAAAACAGGAGTGGAACCCAGGCACTATGCCCCACTGTGCCTCCAACTGGGACTGTCCGAGGTGCTATGGCAGTTCACCTACAAAGTGCTTCTGGTTCTTTCAAATCTAGGCACAACTGCAGGAAATTCATGTTATCCATACTGCTTGATAATTATCATAATGACCAATCATAATGTTCTGGATAAAGGAAAGGAGATCCACATGAAGATATTTAGTTGAAATAACTGACAATCTATTTTTAATTCTATTTTTCAGTTACAACCATAAATAATTTGCAACATCTGAGGGGAAAACATAATGGCAGGGAAAAGACCTTTCGTACAGTAGTTGTATGGTAATTTAGGACTCCTTAAAATTAGAAATAGAATCACATCTTTCAAAGCCTTTCATAAATGATGATTTAACAGAGCCAAACATGATGGTGTATTCCTATAATCCCAGCACTCAGGAGGCTGAGGCAGGAGGATCACCATGAGTTCACAGCCAGCATGGATTACATAGCAAGTTCAAGAACAACCTGAACTATATAGTGAGTCCTTGCCTCAAAAATCAAAACAAAATCATTTAACATGACTGCTACCCTGAGAGAGAAAAAAAATATTTGCTCAGGTAAGAGTCCAACTGCAGGATACCAGCTTGAAATTGCACTGAGCCGGCTTTAGATATTATTGATCTGATTTATAATTCAGCTGTAGATTAAGATTATGAGTCTTTACAAGGCCCACGTGTGAGTTGCTAAATAAGCCTTCTACTGGTGAATGGAGACAGACTTCCCTATGCCAACAGCCACAATTGAGGTCTTAATGATCAAAGAGATTGTGACACTAATAGCAAGCTGACGCTGCAGCTGAAGAATTATGACTGTACAGCCATTCTCCAAGATCAAATGTTAGCTAAAAACAACGCAGGTGGCTTGTTACATATGACCTGCAAGACAACCTGTGCTATCTTGCTTGTTAATTATGACCTGTCCTTCACAAGAATACATAGTTACCTCTCCTTTGCCAGCCTGGATCATTAGTGTATTTATTCTGCTACTCCCTACATCTGCCTTTAACCCCCTTGCTGTGTTGTGTAATCATAAACACAGACTGATCCAGAGTTTGTGGTCCTAGCCAGAAAAAAGCTAAGATCAGGTGGTTTTAACCAAGAAGAGCTAAGATCAATTCCAGATCCCCCAAGTAATAGGCTATTGTTTATTCTTTATTCCTTGTTCTTTGTGTATTCTTTCATCCTCTGCTGTACCCTCGATCAAGCGATCAGACATCCCGATAACTCATCGAGCATGACCTGAGATCAGCAAAGATTATGCTCATTGTCTAGAAGCATATGAACTCCCAAATACTCTTGAAAAAGACTGAATAATATTCTAATCCAAGCGTGATGGCCCATGCCGGTAACCCCAGCACTATGGGATGATGAAGAAGGAGAAGCAAATCTGTGCCCAGCCTGGGCAACTGGGTGGGTTAGTGAAATCCTGTCTCAAAAATTATAAAGTGGGGGCTGGGGATTTAGCTCAGTGGTTCCTCCCCCTGCCTCTCAAGCATAAGGACCAAGTTCAATCCCCAGTACCAAAAAAACAAAACAAAAAGAAAAAATTATAAAGTGGAAGGGGTGGTGCTGGGGACATAGCTCAATGTGAAAGCCTTGGCTCATTCCCCAGTTACTGCC